AGTGTTGCCGCTGTGGACAATCTTCTCCTCCTGAGCGTTTGCTAGGACATTTGTTACATGGTGAATGCTTGTGGCCTCAATCGCATGAAATTATTCATTGTTCATATTATTCCCTTACAAACGCCAAACAATTTTGATTTTGCGTTTTTACACTTCACATCGCCTCACTACGCATAGACGGGTCATGTTTTCCACGATCGTGCAGATTTGCATTATTACCGATCGCATTGTACTAGCGACATTTCTTTTCACTGCATTAAAGGCAGTGCTTAAAAGCGGTGATTGATGCTCTTCGTGAGGTCCCTGTTGGGCACTAGCAACTTCCAGTCTGTCAGATCGTTGAAGCCGGCACTGAGACACAACACACAGCTGCACAGTCAAATATCTGTGTTTTGAGAACCAGAAAGTTACAGACTTCATCTGCAACGGCTCCAAGCGGTCTCACTACGACGTAAAATGATGTAAAAACGCATAATAGCACCGGTTAACTTGGTGCGCACCGTATCTAATTTTAATTTTGGATTATACTGTTTATTTTTGTTTAGACCGGCAGTCACAGCGAGTGGATGTGAATTAAGTTCAACTTTGTTGCGTTGTATACAACTGGGAATTTTTCTACAGTTTTTGAACTTTGCTCTCGAGTTTGTTAAATTCTCAGCCTTTTGGATTCATACACAGACGGACGATTTTTCTGAAATTCAAACTCATCTTTTTTGTCTTTTGAATTTTGAGAATTTTTAGTTCTGAACTTGGTATCAAAGATAAAGCACAACACAACTGAAGAACTGCTTCCGTTTTCGAGTTTACAGCGTTCGATGAACACTGTTCGCAAAATTTTTGCTTTTTAAAGCACACCCCGCACCTTAATACATTTCTGCATGGCAAATGGAGCTCAAGAAGTACTAAAGAACCATGTAGCTTCAGTAGAGTTATTTTTTATTTTTGAAGAGCTAGTAGAAGGCAAAGTGCAGTGAGGACGAGAACCCTTCGCTCATAAAAAACATCCACCTTATTATACGGAGCCAGCAGGAAGCAGGAAAACCATACTATAACCTGTTAGTATTTACCGTGTTATCAATAGCCTTTTACCAGCAGCGAGCGAAAAGCTTTTTAAATAGCATGTATTTTCAATTAACTGTTGTCATTCTCTACTGCTAGCAGAATTTTTTGAAGATGTCCTTTTGAAAATTCTGGCATGTTGCTGAAAACAGTTACCTTTAGTCTTCGACAAGACCTTTAATAGCTAACGAAATTGCGAAGTGAATGCGATTTGACAAAACGCTAAGTTGCTACTGTTCATAAAACACTTTAAAAGAACACCCAATTTAGATAGTGAAACAGCGACAAGGATGGATACACCGGAGCGAAAGCGTCGTTCGTTGAGACCCATTGCTTTTGCAGCTGTTGCATTCTCTGCTATTTCAGTAATGTGCTGTGTCATAACTTTGCCTGTTATCTACAGCCACGTTCAGAGTGTGCAGTCGTTTATGCAAAACGAAGTTGATTACTGCAAGGCTAGCAATTAAATTCCATTATGCACTTGCGTCGCTGATGGGATGCAAAAACACATAATGTAGGAAGATGTCAAGTGTGTTGTGCTTGTGTCACTGCCCATGTTCGCAGTTTCGCATCCTGACACTTTCTTCTAGAAACTAGAGCTCTTACAGAGATTTTTTCGGTCCCTGTGCAAGTCCTTATATATATGGATCAATATTTGATGTTAAATGCTAACTCATTCAATGTTTTAAGCAGAATTATAAGCTCTATTTAAAAAGTAGATAACAGCAAGGCACAATTGAA